AAAAGTTCTCCTGCAGGCAGAGATGTTGGTATGTGGCACCACAAGTCTGTACCCTGGATGGTTTCATGGGAGCTGTAAGCCTGTACCTGCATCTGGCATCATGGCAGTGTCTCTTGGAGCATGAAATATATGTATCAAGTGTCTCATTATTTGTGATTTTCTTTACAGGCATATTTTCTTTTTGTGAGCAGAGGAGATGGATTTGAAAATGGAAGATTATGGTGTGGCTTAAACTAACTGAATAAATATCAGTGAGGACAGAGTGTTTCCTTGGGAAATAAGTAGGGTTCTCTGTGCAACAAGGATGCCAAGGTCCTGTCCTTGGCAACTCCAGGTGATTCTGCAGTCACCAGGAGGATACAGGGTAGGGCTCTGATGGCCTCCAGAGTGCTCCTGAGGGCTGCAGTCTGCCTGCAGCCTTCTTGCTCCTTGTTTGCTTTTTTGTCCCTTTTGTGCTTCATAATCAGGTGAGTTCCCATCTGAAGTGACCTTGCAATGCGCTTCTGCCATCTCTTTTTGTAGGTACCTGCTCCATCTGGGGGGATCAAGTGTTCCATCTTCTCTGAGCTGATTTATTTAATCTGCTCCTTGAGCCCCTGGCTAGACATCAGGCTTTGAGGCAGAAGTTTTGGTGTCAGCTGTAACCAAACGTGGGCAGCAACCTCCACTGTGGCCAGTGGTCAGGTGCAGAGACTGCAGGGTGGCTTTGCCCAGGCTTTGTGTTCCAGGTGTAGCAAACCTGGCAGCTTTCACCTTTTTAAGCTCATTTTCTGCTTCTTCCTTATGGATGATTGGAAGGTGAGAGCTGGGGATGGCCATGAAATGAGGGGACTCCCCAGCAGGCTCCCCATTTACAGGTGTGCAGTGCCTCAGCTGGTCAGGTGGCAGGCTGGGGCTGTCTACTGAGTGCAGGGACAAACAAAAGTGGTTGGGTCCATGCATCTCCAGGCCTGGAGCACAGGAGAGAGAAGAGCCAAGGGCTGGGAGTGGTGGGGGGATCTTCAGCTGCAGTGGGGATGTGCTGTGTGAAAAATAAACTGTCAAAATAAGTAAACAGACTGTTTGAAAACAGAAAAACCCAGAGTTTAATGTTGAGATTTGGGAAGGGATTTGTGCAGCTGTGCCTGTGGAAGCTATTTGTGCCCCTGGGGCTGGGAGGTAGGGCCAGGGCTGGAGAGCCAAGCCTGCTCCTGTCAGTAGCTGGGGGGAGGACGTTTGTTTTCTCTGAGGTGTGCTCCTCCTGCCAGCCTGCACTGCTGGGATGCTTGGAAAACCCATTGTCATCTGCTAATATTTATTTAAATCCGGTGAGGATCCAGTTCCTATGTGTGTTTACCAGCCTGGGGCTGGTGCTGTGCCCTGCTCTGCTCTCAGATGCTGTTGTGCCTCTGCTGCCACTGCACACAAAAACAAGGCATGGGCAGGCTGGAAACACACTCAAGGCTATTTAGCAGAAAGGACATGAATTCAGTGTACAAAGCTGCATGTTTATAGATTAAATGGCTCAAAGTATTTTAATAGGTGAACACTTTAAAGTTTCTGTGCAGGCCTTGTCTGGATGAGCGTGATGTGGTAGCTGTGAGTGCAGGCTTGGCTCTGCTCTGGCTGGAGCCAGCAGCAGCCAAATGACAGTGCAAGGGGACACGAGGATGTGCCCAAAGTAAGCAGTCATGCCCTTTGCTGAGCATGGGTTTGGCTCCTTCATGGGAGTGACAGAATTTCATCCAGGCAGGAGCCCCACAACTGCACTGAGGGTAAGCCAATTAAATTTAATATTGCTTTAGAGAATGTCATGCGCAGGTGATGCTGTTTTAAAGGCAGAGATTCCTTCTGATAACACCAGAGTGCCTCAAAAATGACAGTACTTGAAATGACTGGATAGGGTTCTGTGTCACCTGAGTTCATGTGTGAGTGCTGGCTCAGTTCTGAGCTCAGCATCCTCCTGAGCACCTGAGTCTGTGAGTGCTGTTTCAGTTCTGGTCTCCACATCCTCCCGAGCATCACAGATGTGCAGGTTTTGGGCACAGCACAGTGAAGGTACAAACCCTGTTTCCTCAGGGAGTATGGGACCAGGGTGCTCTGCTCTGGGGTTCCTGTGTGGGATGAGCTGGGGTTGCGTGGCAGCTGCTATCATTTTGTCCTGGTCTGGCTTAGGGGTGGGAAGTCGTGGGCAGCTCTTTTCGAGCAGCCTGTGCCAGCTGTTGTTGAGATGGAAACTTTCTTTGTGGATCAGGAAAAGTGGTTGGCTCCTCTTTTACCAGTGCTTGTTCTTGGCTTTCTGTGGATGTTGTGAAATGTGGCTGTTTGGTGAAATTTAACTAATGACAAACAAATGCCTCATTGCAAAATGAAGCTTCTACTCCCCAGAAATATATGCGTGTGAGGGGAGCTCAGTAAATCTTCCATTTCCTTGCAGAACCCTTCTGAAATGAGAATAAAACTCATCCTGGAGCTGTAGAAGAGATACTGAGGTTGTTTTTCCCTGCCCCTGAAAGCCACCAAGCTCCTTTGTGGCAGCTGTGACCTTGGCCTTCGGGGCGCGCCGGGTCTGGCATCGCCACCGCCGTCAGCGCGTCCCGGTTGTGTCTGCCCTGGAGCGCTATCACCCTGCTTTGGGCTCCACAGCTGGGCTGACACTTGCCACATATGGCACCAGCTGCCAGCCCCTGCAGAGCACGGCCTGTTTTGGTCTGACCTGAGCGCTGCTGTGGCTCTGTGGGCACAAACTTCACCCAGAGGAAAGCTTTGGAGCTGCCAGTGGTGAGCTGGCCACCGAGCCGCCCCTCGTGGCCCCTCCTGTGCCCTAAACGAGGGCGAGGGGCTGTGGCAGTGCTGTGAACTGGCACCTTGGGGCAGGTGGCTCTGCCCAGAGCTCTGCTGGCCCTGCTGCCCTGCAGCTTCTCCAGGCACCTCTGGCTCATTGGCCAGTGTTATGTATTACCTGCACGTTTTGAGAATGCCCTGTAAATGTCCCTTGGAAACTGGAAAATGGATCGTTAAGGGAATCATTAGCATAGCTCACTCTGAGTTGTTAGAACATTTTTACATTATGGTTTTCTTGCAGTTCTCTCTCTAAAAAAATAGAAAAGGCAAATTGGTGTTTTTTTAAAGTCAAGGGCATTCCCGGGCAGATGCTTCAGTGCTGGGCAGTGGCTGCTGGCTGGGAACCACATTGGTGCTGCAGGGCCTGTGGAGAGCCCCTCCCCACCTGCCTAAACAGCATCTCCTAAACACCATCTCCTTGGGGTGCTGGGGCTGTGCACACCCTGCCAAGCCTTACCCCAGGAGGAGTCTGTCCCATGGCCAGGAGTCCCCTTCCATGTCAGCCGGTGTCGTCCAGTCTCCATCAGTTGGTGGCAGTGGGGACAAGGGTGGCTGAGCATGGAGGGGTGTGTGGGGAGCCCTGCTCAGCTCCATCCCATCCCTGGCAGGGGCACATGTATGGGATACACTCAATGCACACTTGCTGGAGGGTTTTTCTGTACTTGCACAGCTCTTCCCATACATGAACAGCTCTTTAAAAGCTGTTTCAGAAGCCACTCAATCACAAACCTGCTTTGCAGTTTCAGATAATTAATGCTCAAAACCAGCCCAGGGTCCTCTGGGAGTCATGTGTCTGTTGTCACGACACCTGCTGAGAGAGGCCCTGCTGCTCATGGCACACAGCACTGAGCGTGGGGGAGACAGTGGAAGCCTTATGGCAGCAGGGAAATGAGCACTGTTGGATTTCTGACTGCACAGAGAGGAGAAAAGAGGTGTTGGGTCATTAGCAGAAAGGCCTGTTATGTGTGAATCTAAAAAATACTGGATAAATAAGACATTTTTATCCAGGCTTTTCTATGTGCTGCTGGTATTCCTCAGCAGGGTCTGCTCTCCAGCAGCCCCTCTCACCCAGTGCCAGTAGCACATGGCATGGGGGGATGTGGGAGGACCCTGAGATGGGTGGTGGGATCACACCAGGAGTGCAGGAGGGATGCCAGGTAAGCCAAGAAAGGAGCACGAGGGTTGCAACAGGACTTGACTGTGGCAGGCACGTTGCAGCCAACTGTGTCTCCTCCATTGAATCAGTAATTCAAGAAAGTCCTTGGGAATGGAGATGGCTGGGGAAGGCTGGTTGAGCTGCATCTACAGATGAGTCACTGATTGCTCCTGTTAAAGAGATGAGAAATCACTCAAAAAGTTTTTGCCATAAAAACTGAGGATGAAATTGCTGCTTCAGTTACTGACCTGAAACTGAGGTGGGATCTGCACAGCTCCCAGGTGAGGGACAGGTGAGGACAGTGGGGCTTTTCTGGCTATAAAAGTTTATTGAAGAAGTCCCATCTTTGTCACACTCACTGTTGATGTAACCTGATTTCTCTGAGCTCACCTGCAAGCAACAAACAATGCCAAAAATGAAAGGGGATCTAATTTTACCCAAAAGTTGTGGTGACTTGCAGACTGCTAAAAGCTAATTGCCTCATCCAGGGGTTGCAGAAAAATGGGTTCTGGTAATTAACTTAACGTGCTGGTGCTTCCCAAGCTGCCTGCACATGTTGGCTCTTGATTTGGATAAGCCCCTGTCCTCCTGCCATGCCCTCTGGAAAAGCAGTTTCTCCATGGATCTGATAAAACAGATCAGATCAGGTTGGGGAGGGGACAGGACCAGCTGAGAGGGCAGAATCTGGGTGTGTAGAATGGTGAGGTGTTGGAGCAGGGGAATTAGGCACTGGGGACATCTGGGCATGGTGGTTAACGTGGCATTAAGGGGTTGGCAGTGCCGTGCTCTGCCTTGTTTGGCACACGAGCTTCATTATTGAAGTCAAAATTGCATGAGCACTGCAACAGCCAGTCTCAGTGGCCTTCTCTCCTTAGGCTGTGCTGTCACTGTGTCACTGTCACTGTACTTTGTCACTCTTTGTCACACATTTCCCGCAGTGGGGCACCCAGCAGGGTCTCTGCATGGTCAGGGCCGGGCCTGGCTCGGTTGTTGCTCTCTCTCTTGCTGCTCAGAGCTTGGCTGATCCATCACTGCAGTTCTGGGTTTGCCATGACCGTGTCCTGCCCACATTTGCTGACCCTTCTCTCGCTGTCTGTTTTATGCTGCAGGTTGGAGGCTGGCCGTGACCATGTCCTGCCCATTGACTATTACTTCCCACCTCAGAAGACCTGTTTGATCTGTGGAGATGAAGCGTCCGGGTGCCATTACGGAGCCCTCACGTGTGGGAGCTGCAAAGTGTTCTTCAAACGGGCAGCTGAAGGTAATGGGGACAGAGGAGAGGTCACTGCCCCACTGTGGTAGCATTCTAAGATCTCTTAAACCAGAAAAGGAGAAAAATCAAGGATAAATTGATTTTCTCTCCTGCGTTTGTCGTTTCATTTTACCGATTGCTCTCAAAAAGTAGCCAAACCAGTTTGCCAAAATACATTTATTTCAGTGGCATTGAGCAATCTCATCTTTTAGAAGGTGTCCCTGCAATGACAGGGGTGTGGACCAAGATGGTCTTTAAGGTCCCTTCCGACCCAAATGTTTCTTTTATTCCACAGTTTTCTTAGTGACCTGGTGAGCTCCTGGAACAGTCAGTTCCTGCTTCTCTTCTTGACTCTCCAGAGTGCTTTAAGCTCCCATCAGCCCACCTGTGGTCTCAGATGCACAACTGCCAGTTTAGGGGAGGCTTTTCCTCTCCTGTGCCCTTCTAGAGCCCACAAACAGCACAACCCTCTGTTCATCAGGAGCCGTGCTCTGACCTTGGGGTCCATGATCCTTCTCCCCAGCCCGTGAGAAAGCAACTTCTCTTTCATGTCCAGGCTCTCCAGGGATAAGTGTGAGCCCAAATGTTCCCTCTCAACAGGGAGGTCTTTGTGCCATCTTTCCTCAGGAATGAACATGCAGAAGCACCCAGCCCAGCTGTTTCCTCAGGCTGTGCCTCAGCAATGTCTGGTTTCTACCTGCAGTTCAGAGTTGTGGTTCTTGGGCACTTGGGCAGTGAGACTCTCTGTTGTGGAAGTTGAACTGTCCAGCAATGTAATGTGCTCATGAGGCTTGTTGTCAGGAGAGGTGGACCAACACAGTTGTGAACCAGCACAAGCCATCGTTCTTCCTTGGTGCTAACACAATTTATGTGGGCATGTGCTGGCCATGGTGTCCTCAGGAGAGGGCTGGCAGCAGAGGTGGGGACACAGCTTCTGTCTCACCATGACTTTACTCATGCCCAGCCTCTCCTTTATAGGAGCAGAGGTCCCAGGCTGGGGGTGCTCACCTGCTGGTGTCAGACTGCTGCTTCTATGTCAATCAGATCAATTTTCATTATCCTGCCTCTTTCTGGAGTCATGTTTCCCTCATTCCTCTGTGCCAGGAGCCAACTTGCCAGTCCTGGTTCTGAGAAGAATAGGGGCTATACCACAGGGGACATCAGTGTTGGATTGTTGCCGAAAAGGGCAGTCAAATAATAGTTAATACATTTTGCATATTTCTCCCAAGTAAATCATTTGCAGCTCTGTCTGTGCTGCACACCAGCTTTGTGTCAAGCCAAGTGGGTTGGCTTGTGCAGCCAGAGTAAATAACAGATGCTTGTTTAAGTCAGCAAGTTATTGTTGATTTATAGTAAGTGGAGTCTTGGCTCAGTCAGACGAACTGCTGCTGGAACGCCCGTGTCTGCTGTGGTCCCCTGGCACCGGGGTGGGCTCTGTCCTGTGGGTGACAGGATCTGGAGGTGTCCACAGGCGGAGGGGCAGCCCAGGCTGCTCATGCTGCTCTGAGGCACGTGCCGTGGAGTTGTTCCCTCTCCTGATTGTGTTATGTCATTAATTTAAATGGTATTTATGTCTCTTCCTGGCTCTTCAGTCTTGCAGTGTGGCAGAGGGTTGGGAGCGTTTGGTTGTGTTGGGGTTGGGCTCTCTGGCTTTCCTGGGGAGCTGGATGTGTGTGCAGAGAGGGGCAGGGGGGGCTGCCAAATTGTGAGGTTTCATCTTATGTTACCCTGAGGTACATGGGTAAGTCTTTATTTTGGAAAGTGACAATAAATTGTGCTCATTTATAGGTACTGAATGCAGGGATGGCAGGTGATGATTTCTGTTCTAACTTTTGATGAGTTTCCAGATAGATCTCTTCCTTCTTAAACCTGAGGAGCATTACTGAAAGCCGATATTTCAGCGCGTTCTCATGTTTTAAAGTCCATAAAACGCTTCTAAGAAAACCTTAGGTTGCCCTTGGAGACTTTACAGCAGTAAATCAAAATGCTTCCCCATGAGAAAAGAAACCTGCTACCTTCCTGGTGCTGGTGTCAAGCCTTCAGTGGAGGGAGCAGCACAAACAGCATCCTGGAGGGGAGGGAAATAGCTGGGCACATCATTTATTTTTTAATTATATTCTTCTGAGATGATAGTGAACTCACCTGGCAGGGATTCAGCAATATTTAATGAGGTTTTATAGCATGCACTGGATTCTAAGGGGTGAGAAAGGGAAAAGATTAAAAAAAAAGTTGTGTCACTGATTTTTCTTCCCTTTAGACACACCAAGGGGTTTATAGGCAGGAGCAGGCCACCCCTGCTTTGATGAAATATTTGACAGATTTGAGGGGTTTCACAAGCTCAGGTTCAACTGCTTTTTCCAGAAAGATGCTGGAAGAGTTGTGCTCTCCCTTGCAGTCACCTGCCCCAGGTTCCCAGCAGGGACAGTCCAGAGGGCTGGGTGGCTGCCCTCTGACCAGGGCTGCTGCTCCTCTGCTGCACTCAAAGGAGGGCTCCCCCTCCTCATTTGGTGGACAAAAAACTCATCCAGCCCAGCACAGATACTGTTTTTCCCTACACAAGTAGGTGGCACACCTCTGTGGTGGGCATGGCTGGGTTGGGTTGAAGACATGGGAGTTCAGGCCTTGTGATGAACAGGTTTTCTGTGGCAGAAAACTGCTTCAAACAAGGCAGCCCTTGAGTCATTTAGCAGCCCAGGGGTTCCTGCTGTCCCATTGTGGATCGTCGTGTCTCTGCATATATCCTGGAGAGAAGCAGACCTTCCTTGTCTCTCTGAGGTTTCTGAGATCTTGTGGCCGCCTTAGCCAGCCCAGAGCTGCCTCAATGCAGCATTCCTGGCTGTGTAGGGATGCTTTGGGCTGTGTTCCTGATGGGGCTGCCTTTAAATAGCAGAGAGCTAAATGAAAAAAAATAACACAGTATTTGGCAATTTTCCTAGCAGGCTCCCAGCCAGGCTGCTGTGCAGGCTGCTCTGAGTGCTTCCATCACCCTCCATATGGATTAGTGTTCTATATTCTGACCTACTGAGGATTAGCCTTACACCAGAGAAATGTCTCTGGGCCAGCTCAACAGTCTCTTGCCAGGTTTCAAGATGACACCAAGTTAAATTGAACATTTGCAAAGATCTGTGCCACGTTATAAAAAGCTTTCTCCTCCTTCCCAGGCTGATGTGACACTCAAAGAAGTTGAGTGTGCAGAAGATTCAGTGGTGCTGCAGCACCACTATGCTCCAGTGGTGGGTTTCTCATGACTGGATGTTATCTGCCTTAAAAAACCACGGGGAGAGCAAAAAGTGGGGCAACCAGAGCAGGGAAAGCACTCAGAGCTTCACTCTGGGAGTTAAGCTCACTGTAGCCATCCGGTAAATACCGAGGACTATTCGGAAAACAACTTTGCAAAGGTACTTCTCAGCAGTGGCTCAGTGCTGGCTCCTGGGAGCCTTGTGGCTGAGCCCTCTTGAGTTACCGACAGGAACATCACATGGGAGGGGTGCCAGCAGCAGACCCACAGGCTCAGCTCTGGCCATGGCCCTGCTGGTGACAGCCCCAAGGACCAGGGGCTTTCCAGGGGAGCTCTGGAGCCCCCATGGTTACATGAGACCCAGGGGAGTTGCTTTCACGGAAAGCTTGGCCTTATCCCTCAGCTATTAAAATTCTGTTTATGCCCTGAAATATGAGGACCTCTCTCTTCCAAGAAACATTTACTGGTTTTTCACATTTACAGTCGTATATCTTGCTCCAGATGTTTGCACAGATTACTTTGTTGTCTGGAGGAGAAAGTTAGTCTGGGCACAACAGCTCATGTGGCAACAGGCTGTTACTTAGATGATTCCCCTGGACTGAGCCTCTCACCACCATAAATCATTATTTTTAGTCAAGAGGAACTGGAGAGCAGTTCTTCCCCTTGGCTCCCAGCATGTGCTGTGGCCCCAGGAGATGAGTGGGAGGGCTCAGAGGTGGTGGAAGTGTCTTTCTGCCTGGTGTGAGGCGGCCCAGGAGGGGCCCAAGGTGGCAGGGACGTTCCTGGCAGAGGGGACATGGGCACTGCAGTGTTCATGGTGGGGGCTGCTGCAAAGATGCTCTCTCAGGGTGCCTGTGCTGGTCTGGGAAAGCAGAAGGTGCTGGGTGTGACTTCCCTGCTCAGCTGTGCACGTGTCAAACAGGACCTGGCTGGCTGGGGAGGAGCTGGGGCTTCTCTGGGGGACACCTGCAGTGTCCTCAGCTGGGCAGTGGTCCATGGGTGGGCACCTTGCCAGTGCCCTGGGGGAGGGACAGGTGGGTGATGGGCCTTGCAAAGAGCAGGACTGCTGGGGAACACCAGAGAGTGGGTGTGAGGTTTGGACCTGTTTGTACAGGTTTGCAAAGCAAGAGGCTCTGCCTTGGAGTGACATGAGAAAACATCTCTGCTGTTTACAGGGGAGAAAAGGAAAACAAATAAGTCGTTGCAGTGTTGAACTCTAGAGAAGGAAAAACCAGTGCGTTTGTCTTTAAATAAAGAACAGCTGATTGCAAATGTCTCACCTTGCTCTGAAATGAAGAGTGAATTACCCTGAAATTAGAAATAGGTCTCTGTGTGTGAGACATTTACTTCAGAGGGAAGGAACTCATCCATGTTCCAGCCACCCTTTGCTGTTCTCCCACCTTTTAGAGCTAGTGGTTCCTTTCCTGGTGGTTAAAGAGAAATCTCTTCATCCCCAGGAATTAGGGTGAGGCGAGCTTGGCTCATTCTCACCGAGCAGCAGCAGCAGCAGCACCATGACCAGGTGTGGCTGTTTGGTTCTCTTTTTGCTACTGGTGAACAGCATGAAGCAAACAGGGCTCACTGGTGCAGGCCCAGGCAACAGAAAACAGGTTCCTGCCCCCAGGAGCCCGTCCATGAACCATGAAGCTGGCCTGGCCATCTCAGCAAATTCACTGTACCGTGACCGTGGGGAGAGCTGTTGGCTGCAGCTCACAGCGTGTGCTGCTCCGGGGTGGCACTGCCATCCTGCAGCCTCCTCCGTGCCCTGTTTGTCCTCCGGGGTGCTCTGCCTGCTCCCAGCTCCGGGGGGAGGCTCCCTCTCCGTGTCCCTTCTCAGCAGTTCTGGAGCTGGGAGATGCTGCTGGGGAGGAAACAGCACAGTGGCCTCATTGAGCACGGCATGGACTCCCAAACCTCATCCGTGCTCCCCTTCTGTGGCTGCCCAACAGGGACAGGGCAGAGGGGGGATGAGCCCAAGTGTTGGGATCTGTCCAGATCCTGGGGATGAGGAGAGTGGCTGTGGGGTGCTGCACCTGACACAGGGGAATCTGCGGGAGCTGTGCCTGATCCTGGAACATCCTGGTGGGGCTCAGCCAGCCAAATCTCCTTTCAGCCCTCCGGTCCCCAGAAAGTAGGGCGCCCATTTGTGACTACCTAAGGAGGTTGAGTGGAGGGAGTGTGGCCTCAGTGCTCAGTGCCCCTGGCACAAAAATAACTCCCAAGTAACCCAGTTTCAGCTGAAGTTCACTGTTACTCATCCTCCTCCTCAATGAACTGCTGAAAGGGAGGATGGTGTTTGTACTCTCTTTAGGGTCCTTAGGGATTTAGGTGTCATCAAGGCTTGCCAGAGTATCCTTCCCATGGGAAATGAGCCAGGGAGAGTGTGAGAAGAGCTGTTCTGAGGACAGTATAAAATGATTTAACAGGTGTGAGGTGTGGTGGGTAATGCAGGTGATGGCTGAGGCACAGGGGTGGGTGATGATCCACTTTGAAGAGGACGCTTGTGAGAAGGTCAAACATGGAGTGTTTGTGCAGCCCCTGGGTGCTGTGAGAGGAGTGGGTTGGGTGCTGAGCCCTGCCAGGGGGTGACAGTGGCAGCTGTCCTGCCAAACCTGTGGCCAGGCATGAGTGAAGGGGACCCACTGTGAAAGCCTCAGGAAATGGCAGCGAGGGCAGCAGTGGTGGAGGTGCGGGGGTTGTAAAATCTGTGCACCAAAATTGGTGCATCTCATGTAAAAAGTGGTCCATTAAGGGGTTGGATCCAGTCTCATCCTGTTCACAGATTTCTGATGACTCCAAAGGGCTATTCCTATAGGAATGCAGAAAGTAACCCCTTGCAGGGTGATAAATAAAGGCCATGGGCTGGTTTCCCATGTGGGCTGCTCGTGGGTCTATAAGCTGCACCTCTCTGCTGCATGCTGAGTCCAGTTTGGTTTGGAACAGCCCAAAGAACATCAGATAAATCCTGATCCAGTAAATGTGTTCAGACTTGTCAAGAAAAGTGATGATTCTTGGCTTGTCTGGCAAATGGGGCAGTGAGGAAAAGCTGTGGCCTGGAGCTGCACAGGAGCACAGGCTGCACAGGAGCGAGTGCAGGGTGAGTCTGAGGTATGGGTGGCTCTGACCATAAGTAACTTCTGAATTTTCTGCGCCTCCCCAAAACCCATGGCTGCACAAGCTCCCCTGTGCAGGGAGTTGCTGGTCCCAGTTCCCTCCTGGCTGACTGCATGTTCATCCCAGGGGATGGGGTGGCATCAGACTCACCTGTGGAGCAGCAGCTCCCCAACCCCAATATCTGTAACCTGGAGACAGCAGACCTGACTGGTTTTAACAGGTTGCACAAAAAAAATAATTCAGTCCCAAAAAGTTCTGTACAGCATCATGGTTACAAGGGAGCTGAAAGGTGAATATTGTGGCAGAAGGATCAGACTGTGGGGTTAGGTGGTACCTGGGAGAAAACCACCAAAAGCCATGCAATAGATGGGTGACATTTAAAAAACGAGAACCAAACTCTCCAGCCTGCTCTTAGTGATCCCAAAGAGCCCAGCCCGTGTCTCTGTTGGTACCCAGCACCCATGTTCCGTTTCTCTGGTGTTTCAGGTAAACAGAAGTACCTCTGTGCCAGCCGGAACGACTGCACCATCGACAAGTTCCGAAGGAAAAACTGTCCCTCCTGCCGCCTGCGGAAGTGCTACGAGGCTGGGATGACTCTCGGAGGTACGGCCGGGGTCCCCTCCTGGGTCCCTGCATGTCACTTGCTGTGTGAGCACCCAGTAAGTGCCTGGAAAATGAGGCTGATGGAAGGTGATAAAACGCTCAGGAAACATTTTCAGGGTTCTAATACCAAAACTGTGAATTTCAATGGCTTTGTTTGTGTTTCAGGAAACATACTTTTCACTGATTTCAAACCTTGTGAATATAAACAAAAAATATGAGCAGCAGGGTGAGCTGGTTCTGGCTCCTGGAGCCTGAGACCAGAGCACTCCCCTCTTTTGATGGTATTATTCCAAGGCAGAAAGGGGCAATTTCTTGGTGAAATTACCTCAGTGTTTTCCTTTGCTGGATGGAAGCTGCTCCTGTGTCCATGGTGAGGGTCCTTGTTACAATTTGTTCCCAAGCCTGTAGCTCTACCAAAACTGACAGAGTGCCGATATCCAGAATCTGATTTCTGCTCATATTCTATAAGCTAGTGTTGATCACTGGGTGAACTTGTTGAGTTCATTTGATGAAATCCTTCCCTCTGTGTGAGGCCCTGGCACAGGAAGCTGTGGCTGCCCCATCCCTGGGAGTTTCCAAGGCCAGGTTGGACAGGGCCTGGAGGAAGCTGGGATAGTGGAAGGTGTCCCTCCATGGCAGGGCTGGGACTGGATGGGCTTTAAGGTCCCTTCCAACCCAAACCACCCTGTGACATTGGGGTGAGGAGGAAAATACCCTGGAAAAGGGGGCTGACAGAGCTGCCCCTGCTGGGGAGCCCTGCATTGAGAGGGCTTTTGGGGCTGCAGAGAGGAGCCCTGGCAGTGCCAGGCACAGCATAGGGGATCAGGGGCAGCCCAGACTGGTTGGGTGTGTCAGCATTTTGGGTTAAATCCTGACCCCATTGCTGGGATGGGCTGAGCCTCCAGAGCTGAAACAACACTGTCTTGAGGGACTTGTTACTGAAGTGGCTCTAATTTGTGGTTCATCAAGGAGCAGGGGGTTTAGTTTCATTTCTCCCCCAAAGGTCCCAAAAGGCAGTGCAGTCTTAACTCCTTTTTCTTAGCTTATTTTTAAGTGCTTTTTTCTGGTGAAGTTTCCTTAAGTGGGGGAAGACATACATCAGTGCAACCCTCTTCTGCAGAACACACTGACAAAATTAATGCTAATACGAATACCCCGCTCCCTTCGTTTTTCTTCAGCTTTTTGGGTCACCCTGACCCGTTCTGCCTGGTCTATTTTACATTTGGTTTGGATGTCGGTGTAAAGGCAATTGTTGCAAACAGGCAAGCTTGTGGTTGCCCGCAGTAACCTCTCCCACGGTGGAGGCAGGGCATGTGCAATCACTCCCAAGCTCCAAGCGGTTGTTTTTAACTGGTGGTTAATTACAGTCACTGATGGGGTTCATCCCGGCAGCCCTGCGGTTCTCCTGGGGGGGAGGAGGAGGCAGCGCTGGGGGAGGTGACACACTGAATGCCTTCTTCAGGCTCTGCTCTAGAACAGGATGGCAACGTGTTGAAGCACTTCATTATTGATTGAGATCACAGTGACCTGCAAGCTGCTATCCACTAACCAGGATCTTCTCTCTGTAGAGAGGGAAGAGAAAAAAGACAACAAAAAAGAGCAAAAAACAGGTGATAATGCTGTTTTAGTGTTTTGGGTCCTGCTGGTGTGCTGGCCTGTGCCCATTATCCCACTACGCCTGTGCCTGCTGCTGGGGAAGATGCTGCAGGGATCCTGCCAGCCCTGTGCCTGGGAAATATCCTGGAATGGGCATGGCTGTAGGGATCCTGCCAGCCCTGTGCCCGGGAAATATCCTGGAATGGGCATGGCTGTAGGGATTCTGCCAGCCCTGTGCCCGGGAAATATCCTGGAATGGGCATGGCTGTAGGGATTCTGCCAGCCCTGAGCCCAGGGAGCATGTGAGGTTCCAGGCTGTTCCTGTGGGGAGCTCCAAGCTCTTGTGCCCACAGCCAGAGCTGGCAGGCACCTGAGCTGCAGCCATGTGGGTCCTGGCTGGAGCAAAAACCCAAAACAGGTGTAATTCCTTTCATTTTGTTTATGGTAGGGCTAGAAATCTCCTGTAGTAACTGCCAAAAGCATGTGAAAGCCCAGGCTTGAGGCATAGCTGTGTTTAGTCCTAATTCAGGTTCAGCTGCTGGGGCGGAGCAGAACTCATGTCTCACCAAATACAGTGGGAATTGATGGGAGTGATTCCAGCCAGGAATCTGACACAGTTTTTGCAGAGCTATTGCAGTAGTTATGAGTGTTATGTTGGATGTACCTGGTTTTTCATCTTGTCTGACCTTGATTTACAGCAACGGGATCTTCATTACAACTTGGTTTGCTTGATTAAAGCACTAATTTTTTTGATTTTCTGCCCCCACAGTGGGTATTTGTCACCTGTGACTCAATAGCCCTTTTGCCTCCTACACAGCCACCCAAGTGACATTCCTTACCTCCTTGCTCCAAGGCGTGTTGTCAAATCTTTAGTGTCCTCATGGCTTCTGCAGTTTGCCAGCACTATCAGCCCTTGTCTGCTGACCTCAGTCCATCTGTTCAGTGATCATCCTTAATGTTCATCCCTATTTCCCCATCCATACATTGCCATACGGGCTGGTTGAGTAAAAATGCTTAAGCCTGGTTTTGGGGTGAATGCCACCCTTACAATCCACCCTTGTAAGAAACAAACATGTCTGATATTGTTTCAACACTTATAATTGCCCTTGAGATGTTTCACTAGGGGGTTTGCAATCATTCAGTGTTACATCCTTCAAGTTCTTTTCATTCATGTGGACCTGACTGACTCAGATCTCTTAAATGTGTCTGCTAAAACCAGTAATGTTATTATCAGCTGAAATTGTTGTGCCAGGTAAGATTGATAGCTTGACAAGTTCAGGTTTTGACAAGTCTTGTGTGAAGTTCATAAAAACTGCAGGGCAGTAGGATATAAATCAAGTCCTGTTTAGCTCTTCAGTGTCCTTCTGGCAGCAGAGCTCAACATGTGCTGCCAGGGGCTGCAGGATGTCTCCATCGTAGCTGGTGTGAGAGCAGCTTCTTCCAGGTCTCCATAACTTCCCTGAGTCCTGGAATCATGAAAATTGGTGCTGGAGCCCAGAGTGCTCGTTCCTCAGAGCTTTAGAAGTGCCTGCAAGGGAGATGCTTAAAATGTGCATCACTTTGGCTGTCACCCTGAGTGTGTTCCCAGGGGTCCTTGCACTGGTCAATATTTTATTGTGATATATAATTGTGTCCTTTTTTTTTCCAAATCCATCCAGTACTTCCTCAGAGACCCCCAGCTTGCAGGGCTTGGGGCAGTGCTGTGGTGCAGCAGCTCCCTGGGCCCCTTGTCCCTGCTGACAGCCAGGCAGGAGCATCCCAATATTGGTCACATGCACTAAGGTTCCTCCCACCTTGGTTCAAAGAAGTGCAATGTAGACTTCTGCCCAGCCCAGCTCATCCTACAATAAAAACATTACAGATGTCTTTAATTCTAATTTTTATTTTTTTTTTTGTTTCTTTTACCTGCTGAGTAGGAGCTACCACCACAAAGGGGTTTGGCACAGGTGACTGTGTAGAAGCCAGTCTTTACCTCTGGAGGTTTTGGTAATGTCAGTATTTCAGTGAGCTGTGGGACAGCTGCTCCTGGAATGCACAAACCCAAGGCTGGTCTGATAGAGCAGTTATCACTCACTGTTACACAGGAGTCTGGTTTGTGGCTGCAGTCTCAGAGCCAGTGCAGTAGGTGCTTGCTGTCTTCTCACTTCAGTTGGGATCTTCTGCTGATAGATAATTAAATATCAAGGAAAAAACCCCAAACATTTAAACCAAATCATGTGTGTGCTTTGTACATGTGGGTTTGGCTTAACTCACGCACATGACCTGGGACACTGGTTATTTCTAAATCCAAGGCAGTGGTGGAGTCACCATCCCTGGGGGGATTTAACAGATGTGTGGATGTGGCACTTGGGGATATGGGTTAGTGATGGCCTTGGCAGTGCTGTGACTTTGGAGGTGAGGGAGAAACGAGAGGCTGATAGCCAGAGGGCATCACAGTGCTGCAGCACTGTTTTCCTCTCACTGTACTTTATTTTTATTCATCCTTTCTCCTCCCTTTTTATGTGGAAGCCTGTCCTCATTGCCTGTACAGCAGATCATACAGAGTACAATGCTTAAAATCAGTGTTTGGAGTTAATTTACAGAGCTGCACTTTGACTTGACATTTTTATGTTTTGCTGCTTATTTTTCTAATTACAGCTGAAAGGAAATTCGAGATAAGTATCATATAATGAAGGAGCCAAAACCCTGAGGAAAACTGGTTTGATGTTGTATTCCCTGCTGAAGGAAGCCATGGGCTTTTGTTCTCTAATTAGTTGGGGTTTGGATTTGGTGAGGACAGGTAGCAGGCCACCTGTGTTGTCAATGTCATGCTGGGATCAATGAGGGGAACACAGACTCTCCAAGACCTCAGGTATCACGCCTCTGGAGTGCTGGTGTGCCTTGCAGGCAGACCAGCAGCTGTGGTTAAGAGCCAGGTGTGTGGGGAAAACACCTTTTCATGTTGGGCACAGGCACAGACCCCGGCTGCTCTGGTCCCCCTGCAAGCTGGCTGCACTGCTGATGGGGCTTGTGAGGCTGCACAGCAGAGTGAGGCCACCAGCTCAGGACTGCTCCTCCTCACTGGGGGAAGCACTGAGACTCCAGGGAAACAGCCCTGGAACCACCTGCTGGCTTCTGAAATGTGTTTTCTGTAATGTGTACAGCGTGTTTGGGAGAGCCTGGCTGTGGGACAGCACGCATTGCAAGAAGGCTTTTAGCTCAGATGCATCCTGCTTCTACTCTGGTCTGGGATGGAACAATCCCACTTGGGCATCCAAGTGCAATGAATGGGACTGTGTAGTGAGTTTATCATCTTGTGTTGCTCCTCTTTTTCATTGTATATGAGCAGTTTGAGTCGAGTCAAAACCTCTTCTCTCTTTGCCCTGGATCTTCCTCACTAAGTGGGAGTTAGAGACTGATCATGGTTGAGGATGTAAATGATGCTGGTTCTTTTCCATGTCAGATTAACAATGAAATGGATGTTATCACACAGTGTGTTCTCCTCTTGTCCTGCAATACCAGGACACTCCTTGGGCAGTGCCCGCTGAGGGAGGAGCTGCTGCTGGTCATCACTTTTCCTTTCCTTGTAACTATAATGATGGAGGCAAGAAGCCCTGACTTGTTTTAAAGTATATTTTTAAGTATCACACTAAACTGTATCTTTCCCACAGCCCGCAAGCTGAAGAAGCTGGGTAACCTGAAGGCACAGGATGACATGGAGGGAGCCAGCTCATCCAGCCCCACGGAGGAGCAAGCTCCCAAGCTGGTGATGACACGCATTGACGGCTACGAGTGCCAGCCCATCTTCCTCAATGTCCTGGAGGCCATCGAGCCTGGTGTGGTGTGTGCTGGCCATGACAACAGTCAGCCTGACTCCTTCTCCAACCTGCTGACCAGCCTGAATGAGCTTGGGGAGCGGCAGCTGGTCTACGTGGTCAAATGGGCAAAGGCCCTGCCAGGTGAGAAGGAAAGCCAGCAAATTCCTTCCTAGTTCCAAAGCCCATCCACAGCTGGGGGCAGGTGCAAAGGGGGTGGTCTGCAGCCCATGTCCCATCACACAGCTCCTGGGGGACCATCTCCATGGGCAGTGTGTGTGTCCCATGCCTGGGAAGCAGCCTGTAGCAGCGTGGGACTTGTCTCCAGAGGGGCTGACAATGGGAGAGGGAACTGAGGAGTGATGGAATGTGTTGGAACTTATACCCTGGGTCCAGATAGCCCCTGGCCAGTGGAACTGTGTGGGCACAGAGCACTTCCCCCAGTGACAGGGTGGCAGCTGGTCTGGGCTCAGGGTCCTGCTCTTCTCCCCCATCTCCATGGGGATTTTGCTCCACTTCCAGGCTGAGTCTGCCAGCCCTGCAGAACTGCCCTCTAGACAGGGATTGGGCCTGTCCCAGGACCCACCTGAAGTGATGAAAAGGGTCAATTGCAACATGGCAGAAGAGCAATGTAGAATCCCAAAGGGCTCTTCCTGGCAGTGGCTCAGATTGCCCATGTGATAGCCTGGTGGGACATATTTATGATGCCTTCAGAGAGGTAACAGGGGTCAGGAATTTTCCAGATGCTGGTCAGCAGGTGCAGTAAATGGAGCATCCCAGTGATTGATGTGTTTATTGAGCTGGATCTGCGAGGCGTCACTGCAAGGTTGGGGACATGCTGCCTGTTCCACGTTGTAATCCTGGAGCTGAGTGAAATTGCAGAGGGCTGAGCTCAGCAAGACCCTGCTCACTTCCCAGCATCCCGGAAACCGGGGCATGGGGCCAGTGCCTGCTGCCTTCTCCATTCTGGCCCCACTCCTCAGAGAACACCATAGAAAAGAGGGACCCCGCTCCTCATGTCTGTGGGGTCATACAGACAGAGGAGGAGACTGAGGCACTCTCTGCCAAACCCTGGTGATGAAATGTGGTCAGGTGTCTGACATTCCCAGGAGTTTAGCAGCCCCCTAGACTGGTGCTCCCAATGGGATATTGGTCTGGGTATTCTTAAATGCAGAGTATTCCATTCTGTTTCTGCTGTTCTTGAGTCACTTGGCTTGTAAAACCAGGGACAAACCCTGCTTCCTCTTTGGCTTATCTACACCAGACGTGAAGATCAGACACAGAGACACCACCAAAGCCACCTGGCATCTGTGGCTGAGGCTTTACCACTGCAGTAGTGCTGATGGAAAAGGAGAGTGCTTTGGAAAATGTTTTCTATCGTAACCACCCCCTTATCAGAGGGTTTTACTCTCCTGAACTGCATCTGATGCCCAATCCCTCAGTGTGTAGTGGTGTCAGCTGCTGCCCTGCTGCCCCCCAGGGCCAGCACTGATTGTGCCAGGGTGGCATCTGGGCAAGGTTTATTCTCCAGCTTGTTTGCCTTGAAGAGCTCTCCAAACCATAGAGATCCTTGCCTTAATGGGTTGTAATTATACACTGCTGCTAAATTGCTTTAATGTTTGATTGAAATAATGCATGATTGCCTTGAAACTCAATTATATTTGCCTATTTACAAGTACATTGGAAAAAACAGCATTGGAGGTGGTGTAAGCATGCCTGGGGTTTAACTCAGGGCTGCCATCTGGGAATGGGAATTTGAATTTGAATCTGGTGCTATTTTTGTTTCTCCTGTGATGTACCTGGGGTTTCCATGCTCATTCCCACTGTCATTAGATCCATGCAGTGTGTATGGGACAGAATCTGGAGCACCTGTAACCATGGTGGGAGCCCTTGGGGCTGCTGTCTCTGACCATCACATTAAAATCCAGTTACTTAAATTTGGTGAAGTCCTAATGGGACTTTCTCCCCTCCTTGTGTCTGAAATCCCATTTCTTCCCTTCTGGGGGCAGTTTTGTGCTTGTCTGTTCTTGATTCCCAGTCAAGGTGGGAGCTCCATGTCATGACTCATGTCCTGGGATAGGCTGAGCTTGGGCTGTGGGCTGACCACCTTGTCCTAAGAGGAGCGAGAGAGCTGGAGTCTGCATGGAAACAGCCCTGGAAACTGCAGGAACTCAACAGTCATTTGTAACATCCCTCCCTCATTGTTTATTAGGATTTCGCAACCTGCATGTGGATGACCAGATGTCAATAATCCAGTACTCTTGGATGGGCCTGATGGTGTTTGCTATGGGGTGGAGATCTTTCACCAATGTCAATTCCAGGATGCTTTACTTCGCTCCAGACCTGGTCTTCAATGAGTAAGTGTGAAACAACAACAACCTAAAGCTGAGCTTTGGGTCAGCTCGTGTGACAAACTACACTTAGAGCAGTCACACTGAGCCGTGCCCAGCTCAACCCAGCCTGGCTCTGCCTATCCTGGCTGTGCCCAACCTGCTCCCCACTGCCACCACCCATGGTGACCTCCAGGAGCAGTGAGGGCACTGTGATGCCTCTCTGGGTCCTTCTGCCCACTCCCTCCCTGACACCCACTGGGGCAGCAGCAGAAGCTGGTATGGGGTAAGGGGCTGCTCCATTTCTGCCTTTTTGCTACAGGGTTTGAATTCCAGTTTCCAGCTCTGCTGGGCAGCTTGAGTGAGCCGAGACAGAGACAAAATGAACTGTAAGGTCCTGGTGGGCTCTCCTTGGTGCACTATCAGCTTAGAGCTGTGGGGGGTCTGCTGGCCCTGAGATAGAAGAGCCTGAACCCAATAACTGAGCACAGCAGCAGGCAAACCCCCACCTGCCTGGGAGCTCCAGCACAGCCTCAGATCCCTCACAGGCAGAAATGTTTGGGAAATCATTGCAGTTGCTCTTCAGACAAAATGCTACAAGTTGCTTGTAGCCATCTGTGTCCAGCAAGGATTGCACACAGGCATTTTGGAAAATGCTCCACTCCTGCATGTGACATCCCTGGGACAGAGCTCGGGCCTTGGCAGCAGGGTGTGCCAGGCAGGGGGGATTTGCTGGGTCAGGGAGCATCCTCCCCATCACACACGTGCACTTTGGGCTCCGTGCCACCTGTACCCCTCTCACCCTGCCAGGTACCGCATGCACAAATCCAGGATGTACAGCCAGTGCATCAGAATGCGGCACCTCTCCCAGGAATTTGGGTGGCTTCAGATCACACCCCAGGAGTTCCTCTGTATGAAGGCTCTCCTCTTCTTCAGTATTAGTAAGTATCCACAGCCTTCCCTCCACAGAGCTCCAGGACCTGCTGCTGCATTGCCCTTAAGGCATCTTGAGGCATTCCCTGTGCCTGGACTTTGCTTTGTCCCCCGCTTCAGCTTTCCTCCTGCTTTTCTGTTGTTGTCACTCTCTGGGTTCCTCTCACTGTTTCCTTCCCATCCCACCCAGTTCCAGTGGATGGCCTGAAGAACCAGAAGCTCTTCGATGAGCTCCGCATGAATTACATTAAGGAACTTGACCGTATCATTGCCTGCAAGAGGAAGAACCCCACCTCCTGCTCCCGGAGGTTTTACCAGCTCACCAAGGTCCTGGACTCCGTGCATCCGGTAAGAGAGGACAGGGAAATGCCCATCTAAATGCATAAAAAACAATATAAAAAAGAAACTTTCCTTAGTGAGAATGATCATTCCCTGGAACAACTGCCCCATCATGGGAGGAGTTCAGATGCAGCCGGAGAGAGCACTGGATAGTGTCATCCAGGCTCCCTTTCCCAGGGAAGGTGGGACCTCTGCCATGTGTTTTCCCAGAGAAAGCACTGCCCAGGGACTTGTTTAACCAGCTCTCTTCCTTCCCCAGATTGCCAAGGACCTGCATCAGTTTACATTTGATCTCCTAATCAAGGCACACATGGTGAGCGTGGACTACCCAGAAATGATGGCCGAGATCATCTCTGTGCAGGTTCCCAAGATCCTGTCTGGAAAAGTCAAGCCTATCTACTTCCACGCACAGTGATCTTTCAGAGGGACCCCCGTGCTGCCACCCCCATTCCAGCCATCTCCTGCCTGTTACTTCTGCACTACTGTCCTGCAGTGCCTTGGGGAATCCCTCTGTGGTGGTGGCCAAGGGGACAGGCAGTGACAGACCTGCTGGGATTCCTGAGATTACTATTTTCCTGAGGTACCTCTGAACTGAACCCTGGCACCGGCCTCTGCCTGGCTCCAGCTGCTCACTGGGCTGGACAGGGGCAGGCGGGGCAGCGGCACCACGTCTGAGTGTTCTCCTGTGTCACTGTGACTCCAGCAGCCCAGGGCCATGGGACAGCAGGAGAAGTGCCGGCTGTTGGTGGGTTTTGGGTGATTTTTATAAAAAGAACAATATGAAGCAGGTCGCAGCTCCGCATTTGGCTGTGGGTTATGTTGCCAGCCTCCTTCCCCATGTTTTGTTTGCATTATGGTGCTGGGAAGCAGGTAAGTTCAAACACTGCAGAAGAGAAGCAGAGCAGAGCTGGGGGACAAGGCAGATTTGTGGCTGAGGAGTTCACGAGCCCTGCAGGCCCTGTGGGATCTGCTCCGGTCAGCTCGGCCCTGGGACCTGCCTGTGCTGCCGAGACACGAGCGATGGAGCGGATGGGCTGCAGCCTAAGGCCTGCCAAGGAAGATCACCTTGGAAATCCCCCAGCAGTGGCTGGCTCCTGTTTTCCACCTGGGATGTTTTTCCTATGGCCTGTCCAGCTGGGTCTTTGTCTGCCCCACAGACCCCCAGCTGCTCAGCAGTCACATTCCTGTCCTCGCCAGCTGCTGCTCATTGACAAAGCTGAACCCACCTCTGGAAGTGCCTGATGCCCTCGGACCTCACCTGCCTGGCTCCCCTGGGCACCTGCGGCCCCTGCCCTGCACCTGCAGCTCCTGCCCCCACACCTGCTCTGCTCCTGTTGTGGCTCTGCAGACCCGGGATTCCAGCTATGCTCTTCCCCTTCATTCGCCCCTAATATTTTGTCCCAACTATTTTTTCCAATGCCAGCAGATGAGTGTTCTGGAGCCAAGACCAAGGCCAAGGTCTGTGGGACCTGTGGGACCTGTGGGACCATGGGACTCCTCTCTGAATCCTGTCCATGGGAAAATGGTTGTGGGAACTGGCTGGTGCCACCATGGTGCTTTGGGGGCTGGAAGGGAAGCACCAAGAGACCTCCTGCCCCTGGAAGCACCACACACAGCTCCTGCTGATAGCAGTGGCTGCAGCCCAGGAGGACACCATCATGCACTCACTGTCCCATGTACATGGTCCTGTATGCACCACACCACCCATCCATCCCTGACAACCACCCCTTACACACCATCCATCTATTACACACCATCCCTTACACACAATCCATCCCTTGCACACCATCTATCTCTTACACACCATCCCTTACACACCATCCATCCCTTACACACTATCCCTTACACACCATCCCTTACACACCATCCATCCCTTACACACCATCCCTTACACACCACCCATACACTATCCACCCCTTACACACCATCCCACACACACCATCCCTTACACACCACCCCACACACACCATCCCATGTGCATCACCCCACACACACCCAGCCTGTCCCCAGCACACACACAGCAGCCAAGCCTATTTTCCCTGTGGTATTTTAGTTCCCCTCTTCTGCATGTCCTGAGTACATCAAAACCACCTGCTCAGACCCAGACAGGCTGGTTCCAGGGTCACACATCCCATCATGGGCTGTGACATGTCTGGCATTACCAATCCAGACATTCACAAGGGATCCTTGTGATGGCACAGACAAACAGCAAACTCTGGACCCTCCCAGGACAGTGGTCCCACCCAGAGCCCTATGCCCACCCCATGCCCAGCTCTCAAGGAAATGCTATCATGGTGAGTGGCTCCTTTACATACTTGGAGTAAAACAAACTATTTCCCTGATACTTTCCAACCATTTGATGGGGTTTTCTTTATATGAAGGAGTGGGAAAAAAAGCCCATATTGAAGGGAGGATTTTTGCAGTGGTTTTCCTTCTTCTGCTAGATATGGCTCTGATGCCACTCCTCCTCCTAAAATCCTCTCATGTAGGCAGCAACAGAATCCATAGATGAACTTTCTGACTGGTTGCTGCTCTCAGAGGCTCCCCCATGCCAGGGGCTGCTGGCATTTCCAGTGCTGGTGTGAGCTACAGATATTTGCAAATGAACCAGTAAAAAATTCCAGCTGGTGCATCCCTGTCTTCTGGAAATTTCCCTGGCTCTTCACAGCAGAGTTCAGTGAGCAGATGAGTGGGGATTCCTAGTCCCTGTTATCAGCTCAGGGTGGCTCCAAGCAGTTGGAACAGCAGTTTGGGAGTGCTTTGTGCTTCACACAGGCTCATGTCAGTGAAGGTTTTGTTGGTTAATGAGTGTCCTGCTGGGTGTTAATCTGCTGGGAGACTGGAAAGAGGCCAAACCTAACAAGGATTTGGCCACCGTGTTTTGCTAATGGGAGCACCATGTGAATGAGAAATAGGGGAGTGGAGAAAGGATACTGCCCGTGTATCACCTGCCCCGGGCGTGTCACCCGCTCTGAACCTGCTCTGGATGGTGAGTGCTGAGCAGGGCAGGAGCTCCCAGGGAGCACCCCCAGCCCAGGACAGAGGGGCAGGCAGGGGCATTGAGGTCGTGTTCTCTGTCTCTTCAGTTTCACAGTAAACTTCTGCAACGTGTTCATTCAAAAGTTGGGTTTCTACAACATAATTACCAGGAAATGTTGGAGCCAGGACTCGCAGCACCTATATGTGTATTTGCTAAGGGAATTAATGCTATTTTCCATGTGGATTTTCATGAGCTGCTGCAGGAACTGGGGAAGAAAAGGCTTTAAGAAATACCAAAGTCCAACTCCTGCCATTTATCTTTATGCTTTTTGTTTTCTTCTGCGTTTTCATGTCTACTTTTGCTTTAATAAAGCAAGGAGAATTTCACCATGTTCACAGTCCCAAAGAAGCTGTCCCTGAGGCTCTCCTTGGGCTGCTGAGCCCTGGCGTGGGGCCCCCCTGGGTTGGCAGCTGAGAGCCAACCATCTCTGTGTGGATTCCCTGACTCATCTCGGAGGTGTGGGGGGGTTCTGAGCTGGCTCACTCTGGGTCGTGGCTCGGCCCATCAGCTCCTGCCCAAGGCGGCAGATGGAGGACAAGGGATCCAGACTTTGGCATCTCCCTGGGAGCAGTGTTTGTGCATGGATGGGCACCATTTCATAATAGAGGGTGTGGGATAAAGGATGCTGCCTTTGGTGTGGGCAGGAGGGGCGCTCCCTCAGCCCTGTGTCATGCCAGAAGCAGTGAGACAGATGAACTGGTGCAATGGCATGCGGCATTCCCAGGGCAGGGATCACCGACCTGTGCCCACCTGAGCCTGACGGGCTCCTGACAGCACCCCCTGCCTTGGCAGGGAGCTCAGCTCAGCAGGAGCAAGGCATCAGGACAGCAGCTCTCTGCTTGGAGAGGCTGTGGTTGAGTCTGGTTGAGCTGGAGAGCTGGCAGCATCCACGTGCCACTGCCGTAATGTCCATGAGGCCCTTTGTGCTTGGCCCAGGGGACAGGGTGCTCAGTGAGGGAGGTGAAGCTGGGGCAGCACTCTCCCTGCGGTACCACTCCTTGCTCTGGGCCGTGGGGTTGTCTGGGCTGTGGTCTGTAGGGAGTGCTGAGGGGTACCCGAGGTACCACCTGCTTCCCAAGAGCAGCTGCCCTCACAGTCACCTCCCACCACCAGCCAGCCCTGCTGTCCCCATGGTGTCCCTTCCCTTGCTGAGCTCTTGGCCTGGATGTTTCAATAACATAATGTATGCTAAAATTATCTATCTCTATATAAAATACAGGCATGGGCCATTTTCTATTGCTAAGGATATCTATTTAGTGACATGCTCTAAGAGTCCTCTCTGATTGCACACTGAGGTACTGGATTCTCTGCAGGAGATGAGTCAGAACGTGCCAATTTAATGGAGGCTTTTAATTATTTTTCTTGCTGGGTGCTGCCCAGTTTGCAAAGGTCTCCCTTTTTGTGGCATGCACAGAGCACACCCTGGCATAGGCTGGGGTCGGTATCAGCTTCTCCAGCTTTCCCGTGTCTTCTTGAGGTTTGACAGGGACAGCGTTTGCATTTGGGGAACAACAGAGTGCCCCTTGTTTCTTCCCTCTTTGACTTGCACAAAGTGGCCTCAGACATTTGGGCAGAATGCTGGGATTACAGAGAGTGTCTGTTCTACCTGTTTGCAGGCCCAGGGCTGGCTGTGGGCACTGCAGATGGCTGTGGGCAGGCAGGATGTCCTGGCCCCTTCGGGTGGAGCAGAGCCTCTCCTGCCCACTGGTGCTTGCTCCCTGCACTCATTCCCTTCAGCAGCAGAGGGACATTGTGCTTGTGACTCATGGAGTAAATCTCTGCACCCACATAAACCCTTAGCAAGTGGATAAAAGCTGCTCTGTGTGCCGGATATTTGGTGTTCTGTGGCAATTTTATGCTGTTTCTCTTTATTAACATGTCTCTGTAATAATAAGAGTTCTCTGTTTGATATATTTTATTTTCTTTGTAATAAGCCAAAAAGCTCATTGCTGGTGCCTTTTTGCCTGGGGGGGGCCTCCCAGCCCACAGCTGTGTTCCTGGGAGTAACAAAGGCCAGTGTCTGCAATTGCTTCTTCCACCAGGGCTGGGGGAAAGAGAGAAGCCAACGCCACAGCATTGCCAGAAGAAAAAGAGCCAGCAGCCTTGGAGTGTCAGAGAGAGTTTGGGGTATGATGTTGGTTCTTTCCTGGCTCCAAGGTGAGGGATGAGCATGATACTGGGGACACCTTGGCCCCTTTTTGGTGGGACTGTGACCCTGGAGACCCCACAAACCGTGTGATGCAGGTGCAGCACACACAGCCTGGTCTGGCCCAGTTTGGAACCGCAGTGCTTTGTCCAAGTTATAGCATTACCTGAGGGTAAATTCTCCCAGAGAAGGAATTAGTTGGATTGCTGACACAGCTGCTTTTTTTTGTGTGTTTTGTTTTGGTTTGTTTTTTTGTTGGTTTTTTTTTTTCAATTGGAACTGAAACATTGGATAAGGAAGAGAAAGCCCCAGAGTGTTCTGGTACCATGGGGGCTGGACTGTGGTGACAGATGCTGCTGGGGCCAGTGGGGTGGAGTGCAGGATGCCCTAAGGACAGCTGCAACTCACAAGTCCTCATGTGGGACTGAAGGATGTCTGTTTCTGTAACCAAAGAGAGGGGCCTGCCTGGCACCTAGGTAAAGAAACCAATGCCACCGCGTTGGGGGTAAATGAAAATTCTCATTTCTCCTTCAGCCATGCTTGGGGCCCATGTGAGCCCTCAGCCATGCCACAGGGTGGCCCCTCACGCTTGGTGTTCAGCTCTTCTTGTAACCTGAAAGTCTGCTGTTGTTCTCAGTCCAATAAATGCAGAATCTGGTTTGCTGGAGCTCTATTCTCTGCCCGAATTTGGCTTTTGTGTGGATTTTGTGCATGAAATTGCTGTGGGTGTGATGGCTGCCAGCAAGCAAAGGCTCTGGGAATCGGTGGGTCATTTGCCAGTAGATGAGGCTGCACATTGGGTCATTGTAGGCTTTCTTCTACAGTCAGATTTCACTATTAATCAAGTCTGAACGTGTAATTTAATTACATATCAATTGGCTAATCCTTTCATATATTCCTCTTTTGGTCTTTTAAATTGAATTTCAGTTAATTATTGTATTTCTCAAAGCAAGGAGCTAATAAAGGCCAGTGTCCTCCTGCTCTTGTCATTGTTTTTGGTATCTTTATGAACCATTGTAAATCCATTCTTCTGGAACATCTTTATAAAATTGACCTATGCTCTCCAAGTAATAAAGAAGGTGCTTATCAGCCACTTGTTAATTCAAGGCAGAGATGTGAATCCTGCTCAGGGCCAAGATTTGATTCACTGAGACAAAGCAAAGAGCTTGGGAAAAAGAAAAAGCTCACTGGGCCACAAATAGCTGGCAGTGCCTGGTGTGTAATTGCACAGAAGCAGTCCACACACCATGCCCCGTGAGCTGAGGAACAGCCAAGAGAACAAAACCCCTTGGGTTTGTCATCTGCAAGGAACCTGATCCCATCCTTTGCTTTGAGTCACAGTAAAAAATTAATGTGTTATTTTCAAAATTAACCCTTAATGGACACTGAGCAGGCCTCAGCTCCTCAGGGCTGGTGTGGTGTATTGGGTAAAGAGGAACTGCAGCATGTCAGTCCCAGTGCCACCTGCCAAATGGTGCAAATGCCCACTTGGACACCAACATCCCCAGGGACACTCAGGAGCCACTGGTCCAGTGCCTCATGGGATGATGGACGTGGCTGCACCTCCTGGGCTTACACTGGGCTTGTTCTCTGATGGCCCCAAGCTTGTGTGGCTTGAACAGTGTCTGTGGGAAGACAGTGAGGCTGTTTGGGTGCAGCTGAGTCAGAACTAGCTGAAGGACAAATCCACCTCATTTAACTCCTTCTGCCCAGTTATGCTCCAGCCACCTGTTGCACATCCTGCACCCCACATCCTACACCCTGCATCCCCCCTGCACAGCTCACCAGGACCTACAGGTCACAGGGAAGCTGCTGACCTCCCTGATCATTCCTAACTGCTGTAGCTGTGGGGCCTGGCAGCATGGTGACAGCCACATGCCAGTGGGCTCCAGAGCTGTCCTTAGAGATGCCTTGGCTCCCCAGCAGAATGGCAAAACATGCTCACAGGAAAAAGTCCAGTTACCATGAAGAAGCCAACTGAAACATTATGAAACACGATGTTTCCAGTTGCTGTGAAGAAGTCAACATGAAAACTTCATAAAAACCCCAAAATGGCCCTATGCTTTAAGGCCATTTATTTGTTCTTGTCCTCATAGCAGAAAGTGGGATATTTTTAAAACAGAAAGAAGTTCTGTTTCCTAAAATACTGATGAGTTGTGTCAAACAGCCCTTTCAGCAGTGGTTCCCCTCCCTGGGGGCCTGGGAGAGGCAGCACTGTGACCCTGCTGCGCTGGCAGCCAGCCCTGTGTGCCTTCCATGTCAGGGCTGTGGCCGTGCTCCCAGGACGAGCCAGGGGCAGCCACAGACCTCAGTGGGGTCACGCTGACTTGAGTGCCCTGACATGAGGGACATCAGCCAGCGCTGGGGTTTGCTCCTTATCCAAAACTGCTGCTGCTTTCCTTTGCCAGCTGTGGGCAGGTGCCAAGGGGAGGGCAAACAGGGCCTGCTGGGCATGCCCTGTGTCTCATCCCATAGGAGCAGGGTGGGCACAGGGACACGGTGTGGTAGCGTGGCACGAGGACCATCGGGAGAGCTTGGGCAAGGCACTAAATGGGGCCAGTGTGTGCAGGACACAGTGAGGACAGATGGAGCTGTGGGAGGATGGAGCTCCTGGGGACTCTCCTCTCTGAGCCTTCATAGGCATGACCGCATTTTATACAGGATTTCAAGAATTTTCAAAACTTCTGCCTTGTGGGAGCTCTTACAAACACTGGCAGAGGCTGTTAAAGCACTTCTTAAACTTCTGAAAACACAGAAAATGGAAAACATTATGGCTTTTACTGATTCAAAGCATCTCCTGATTGTTTAAGCCAATCACAGGATTTTTTGGAGGCCTGACCTGATTTACAGCCATGTGTATGGGCCAAGAAACCTGCTAAGGGCTGCCAGGAACCCGCCCAGTGCAGGGAGCTGCTCCCAGCTCAGAGCATCCAAATGGGTAATTGTGCAGAGGGATGGGTCAGGAGAGCTACGGAGCTGAAAACTACAGCTCTGATCCTCCAAGGAGTCCCACGTGGGTGGATTCCGGTGCCTTCATGGGTCTCTGTGTAGCACATAAATTTCAGATGTCGGTGCTCCACTAAGTATATTTCAATTCTAAATTTATCACACAGATGTGTCTGCTGCAGTCTTTGGCCTTTTCAAGTTCTTCCTCTGGGAAGAACTCACTGAGGCTTGGGCTAAGGCTTTGGAACTGCTTGTTTTGTTATCTTCTCTCTATAAAAACCTGAAAGCTTTTACTTGTGCTGGAAAATAATTTTCTTGCTCATATTAAATCCAAATGTTTTCTGTAAGAAAGCAAGCCAGGCACCTGTGGGTTGGGAGACAAGGATTGTTGGGGCAGTGCCTCAATGCTCATTCCAGTTCATGATCACTTCACTCAAGGCCTAGTGAGGAAAGAGAACAGTTTAGTTCCCCAAATGCCGCTGTTTTGAATGCATCCAGCCCTGGAAAAGTTACAGCCCCACAAGGAAACTTTTGAGAGAAACAAGAAGCCAGAAAAAACAAGCAGAAAAACCCTCCAGCTGCTGCTCCAGGTGCATTGTGTCCATGCCCGGCCCGGGAGTGCTGTGGCAGCTCGGGCCCGGGGCCAGGGCACGGCACAGACCTCTCCGAGCTGGCAAACCTGGCCGGGGCTGCACCAAGAGCCCGTGGGCCGGACCGGGCCCACACAAAATAATTGTAGGAGGATCCCAAAAGCAGCGACCAGCCCTGAGCAGGGTGTGGGTGGGAACGCTCCCCTGCTCCAGCTGGGGACCCTCACGGCTGTTGGAGCAGCTCGGCTGTCCCTGGGCCCCCAAGAACACCCTCTGGAGCCATCACCTCGGTCAGGCTTCTCCAGAAATCCGGGCTCCAAAGCTGGCTGCAAGATTCCTGTTTCAGAGAGAGAAGCTGTTCTCTCCTGAGAGAGGGCTTGCTGTTAAAAGAAAAGTAGGAGGCCTGGAAAGCAAACACTGGTGCACAATGTCAGAGTCAAAAGGTGGGGGAAAATAGATGTGAGGAGGGAAAAAAGTGCTGGAGAGATGGAAAGAAGCCATTGGTGGCCACAGGAAAACCAGAGTCTCAGTCACCCACAGCACAGGATGCTGTCCAGGCACTGTGGCAGCGCAGGAACATTCAGCCTTGGCAGGGCAGCTTCTCCGGTCAGAAAAATGCTGAAAACCAGCACTGGGGACTGCAAACCCAGAGTGGGGCTACGGCAGAGCTCAGGGCACCCCCAATCCCATGGACACAGCCCTCTGTGGTGGGGCACAGAGCTGGGCCTCCACAGCAGGGCCTGCCTGCAGAGGGGCGGCAGTGGGCCCAGTGCTTGGGGAAGAGAAACAAAACACACTGAGATTGTTTCACTTCATGGAAACTTTATAAACACTTGCAGTAAACCTAAGCTTTTGCACATCACAATGGCTCCAAGGCTGATGCTGGGGGGCTGCTGTGCTGCATAGGGTGATCCTGCTGCATTCCCAGTTGTCACTTCGGCCACTGGCAGCAGAGATTGTGCCCCACAGCAGCAGGGATTGTGCCCCACAGCATCAGGGATTGTGCCTCATGGCAGCAGGGATTTGGCCCCACAGCAGCAGGGTTTGGCCCCACAGCAGCAGGGATTGTGCCTCATGGCAGCAGGGGTTGGACCCCACAGCTCCCCGCCAGCACAACCAGCATCCCCCACTGCTCTAAATGCTGGTCCCCAGTGTTCAGCTGCATCCACAGGTGCAGGAAAAATCAGCACAGACATACAAGTGACAAAGAACTTAAAAAGGACACCATGAAATAGTCTGCAAGAAGCTGCCTCTCCCCACTGCTCACACTGTCAGACTGAAACCAACCCACTCTTGGATTCTCCCTACCCAGGGAGCCTGCTCTGTCCTGGGGTCTGTGCTGGGCAGTGGGCATGAGCAGGAGGAGGATGTGACAAACCACTGCTCCTGCAGGATGTCGCCTCCAGAGTCACGTGCATCGGCAGAACCCAAGGAGCTTCCCAAACTGCTCAGGGGGTCCTCAAACAGCAGCCCAAAGCAAGAAAGACATCTGGGAAATGTTGGCCTTTTGTGTGGGAGCCACAAGCCCAAGACCCCAACAGGGCCAGGGGTTGATGTGCTGCAGGCAGGTGGCCCCACTGCCAGGTTGGTACCAGCAGCAGCCTCAGCTCCAGCTTCAGCTCCATCCTACCTGTTCAGAGATCCCTGATCAGCCTGTGCATCATCCTTGAGTCCCTGGTGAGGGGCTACAGCAGAAGGGGCTCAGCACAGCCCCAGATGCTGCCAGCGCATGTGGCACAGCCTCAACTGCCACAGCACAAGGCTGGTTTGATTTTAAAGCCACTTTCATGAGCCAGGCCTAAAGGAGGGAGCAGCTGGGGCACTGCTGAAGCCAAGGGAGGGGAGCACCATGGACATGACACACATGAGTGCCAGTGTGTGCCATTCAGCAATAAAAGACACAGGGTCATGCAGAGGCAAAGCGCCAGGACGTGGGAAGGACCTGCGCCGGGCAGGACACAGCACGCTCGAGCGATGGAGCAGCTGGGAAGCAGCTGTGGGAATGTTTGGCCACTGTTTTGCAAATGGTCTCAGCACCTAAAGAAAACCATTCAAAAGGGGGAAATCATCTTTGGGTGGGTGGAGGAAGCAGAGGAGTGCCTCTCTGCCGTGCACAGCCCTGGAACTGGGTGCCGGTGGCAGCTGGAGGAACAGACAAGCCTCTACTGCTACAGAGGTCCTGGCCAGGGACACCTCCTGGGCCAATGGACATCATCCACAGGGCCATGGCCGAGGGACAGACTGGGCATCTTCTACTGGAAATGAATAAACAAGTAAGTAAGGAACTGGGCAGTTCTTAAAAAAAACCAGGGTTTGACCCACAAACAGTGAGTTTTAGATCCTCAGCACCTCTGTGCTGGCCACCGCAATCAGCCAGGATGGAGACTTCTTGGTGGGCCTGTGAGAAATGGATTTGTGGGAGTGTGGCTTACATGGAAGAGGAGGCAGTGGAG